AGGAAATCCTGCTTGGGTAGTCAACTTGCTGTCCCGCATTGGTGGATTCCATACGAGTGGCAAAGTAAGGCGGGCAATATTGATCCAAGTGTAATTTAACTCCCGGTGTGAAGCGTGGCATTCGTAGCTCAAGTAGGTAGAACGTTGGCTTGCGTAGAAGGCCTTCCCTCCTATGTGGGTTCAAATCTCGCCGAATACCGCGAGTTTCTTCACAATTTGATCAACTAAATTTTAAAAAATCGTTTTTATTAAAGAAGCAGTAGCCCTGCACTACCAGCGTAAGCCCATCTTCAGCATCCTCAACCGACGAGCTGTCTTTATAACTTCGCCGAATCCGATCATGTTTGAAAGCTGGCTAAATCAGTCGCCTTCACACCTTACTGGCTTCTGAAGCAGGTTTCCTGCATGATCCTCCAATAGTCTGATTAAATTGCTGTTCAGCTTGCAGGAACAAGCGCCTCTTCCAAGTCCAGATCGCAATTTTGAGCATTATGCATTTAGTGGCTCGTCTTAAAACCCTTGCAGAAAATTTCATTGGACTCAGCCAGGATCATCTTCCCCGTAAGATTGAAAGGACAGCTGACTAAATTACGGAGTTCACATATTTGGCTGTTTTAGTTACATACATCTTGGTGTGGCAAAGTGCTGTCGAGTGCATTCTGATCGATGTTTAAGTGTTTATATACATACTACCTAGCGCATTTCAGTAACTCGTTTTTATAAGTCACGAATTTTGGCATGCATGTCTACAGGCAACCCTGTGTCAACGCATTTTATGCATCTTTCTCGCATCCCCTGCAGATTAACAGCGAGATCATGCGGTTCAGCCATGGCATGCATGCGGCCTGTACAACGCTGGCAACCAACTTGAAGGCCTCCCAGCTGGAGTCAGCGGACGCGCTAGCCAAGAGTCGGCGTCAGCTGATGAAGGAGGAGGAGGATGCCAAGCTGCGCGCCCAAAGTCTGACCGAATCGCTGGCACGCAGTCAGTCGAAGCTGGCGGAAGCTGAGAGCAAGCTCATAGAGCTAGCTCAGAAAAACCAGGAGCTGGCTGACGAGGTCTGCTTACATTTTCATTCCCATTATGCTATGCATATATGTATTGTAATGTCAAATGACTTCTTTGGAAAAAGCAGAAGAATGTGTTTGATATATTTGTGACACCGGTTCCTGAGATGGTCTTCAGACGTTGCGTCAAAAGTAAAGGTTCCAAAAGCGCTTCAAAGCGCTTCCAGCGAAGGCATTTGAATTCAGTTTATACTTCCTGCCTTTCAATATGAAGAGGGCCTGACAAAGACTAGGGAGACCGGAATGGTCATTTCGGGCTTACTAGCCCTCATCAGCCAGTCATGCCACCCAGGATTCGAACCTGGGACCTGTGATAATTGAGTTCATCTCTCTGCCATTGCGGTGCGGTCTCGTTGCTTTGTCGGTTGCATATGTACACTTTTATGGTTTAGTGGAAGCACGCTTATAGATTATCTTATGTAGCATAGGAATTTCGGATAAGATATATATTCGCTATCAATTTATGTGGAAATGTGATTGGCCAATCTAGCAGGATTGTGAGTAAAAATAGGGCTTTCCGGTTGACCTCAGAGCTCCTTCTTTCAGCTGCCTCTACCGAGGTCTCAGCAATCTAGCAATATGTCTTACAAGCATTACCCGAAATGGTCACAATTTCGCTTTCCATTATACGTTGGCAGCAATACTTCCAAGGCTTCCTGTCAATTTTTCTTCCGGAGTTATTAATTCAATTATCAAACGCTTAATGGCCAGCGAATGCGGGTTTGATTTCCAGCTAACCTAAAATCCGGGGTTGGTTATGGCTGGATGATGACGACTAAAAAGTCGGAACTTATCGTTCCAGTTAGCCTGATCAGGGTTGGTAATATTATTCTGCCTATAATATACTAAGTGCTGGATAGCTACTAGCACGATTGAAGTGTGCATCCCACGGCAAAGAGGACGAGTTTGTTCCGTAATGTGATCGGCGAGCCGCCCGACTATCACTGTTACTATACCCTATCGCCACCAAAAGTACAACACATCCGTGGTTCACTGGTTGGGGCGTTGTACTCCTAGCCAAGGGGTTGAGAAGGTCTGGCTGAGGACTCCTACTATGTCAGAAATGGCCACTCCAGCTTCTCCAGTCTTTTGTTG